AAAAAGCACTTTTGGGGTGATTTGGAAAAAGTGATTAGTTGTAAAAGTTGATAGTGTTTGAGAAAAAAGTGATTTTGAAAAGTACGAGTTGGTAGTGTTTGGTAAAATAAGTGCTTTTGGTGTATAAAAAGGGGAAAAACACTTTTGACACGAAAGCCGAGAAAAAGTAAAAAAATGGTAGTGTTTGATAAATAAGTGCTTTTTAAAGTCAAAAGCTGATAAATGGTTTTTTAAAGCTGTTGCAAACCAGTCCTAATTTATGTCTTCTCATCTTTCCGGCCGTTTCTTCTTCAACAACAGAGAAAAAGTAGTGTGACGATCAATAGAGCCGTTTGGTGATCCTGCTTTTAACTTATGAATCTTATCAATCAATTTTTTTCATTCAATACATAATTTTTATTTCGTTAAATTTTGTTAAATTTAACAATATTTATTAATATAAATTATTAATACATTAATAAATGAAATACAATCGAAAGAGAACATGTGATAAAGCAAAATTCAACATTTAACACTTTTTTAAGAAAGGAGGAAATATACACATCGATCGTTTTCATGTTAATTAACTCTTATTTTCTTTTCTTTTCAGATTAGGAGAGGATGATGATGATAGTGATAGAGCACGTGCGACATCCATGACACCAGCAGGAGGTTTAACAACATAAAAGGAGAAGATATATAAGAAAGAAAAATTAATAGTCGATCGTATAATTAATTAGCTCGCCTAGCTAGCTAGAGGGAGAAGTTGAGGGAGCGAGGGTAGGTTTGAGGGAAATACAATATAAAAATATTCATGTCATTATACGTTTTGATGACAATAATTGGTTAGTTGTGGGGTTTTTAAACTCTGCCGTGCTTAAGCGATAAGATAAGAATTAAAGAAGGTAGCCAGTCTCTAAGTCAATACCCAAACAGTTCCTTGTTAAATTTTAACCACATGCTCTTTTACTTCACCAACCAAGTGGCCGCGCGTTGAATCTCATCTCACCCACACCGCATCAGCCACGCACACATCTTCTATAATCTATATTATACTCCTTACGTATCAAATTACTTGACCCACTTTCCTATTTGGGTGTATCAATTTAATTGACCACTTTCCCTTTTGGAAAGAATCTCACTCAAAAAGCAGCTACAGTACTGCTACAGTACCGCTACAGTGTCGCTACAGTACCAAAAACCTCTTACTTTTAATAAAGTCTACAGTAATTTCTTAAACTGTGTGAAAAGCAAACAGGTCAATTAATTTGATAGGGAGGGAGTATTATGCGTACATATATTATTATGGTGCCGTTTGGCAACACCTTATTTCGGCTTATCAGGCTTATCAGCCAACTTTTTCACTAAACACATAATTTTTGCTTTCGCGCGCTAAATTGTGTAATAAGCAGAAAAAGTAAGGTTAAAGTTACTTTTCTAGCTGTATTGGCTGAAATTACTGTAGATGATCATTTTAACTATTTTTACTTATAATTTTTTCTTTATTTTGCTAATAAAATATATTTTAAAAATAATTTTTTCTTAAATCAGCAGAATCAGCCAATGCAGCCAGAACTTCATAAATTTAAGCAGAAACAGCCAAATTAGCCGATTTTCGTCCTACCAAACAAGCTCTATACTTCTAATAATTAATGATAGGGAAAATTCCCGAAATAGGACTAAAACAGTTTGAAAATTCTAAAATAGCACTGTCATATTTTTTATTCCCAAAATAGGAGTAATTACTGTCAAGTTTGGAAAATACTGCCATGTTTGAAGTCCGGTACTGCCAAAACATGACAGTAATTACTCCTATTTTGGCAGATATACAATATTAATATGTTTATTTATAGTGGTGGGAAATTTAGAACAATGACCAATGATCGAAACCCGCAACGGCCGGTTACGGCTCTTGCGCGTTGGGTTGGACCTCCGCTGTGCACGGGCATAATGCCTATCATCATTGGGCTATTGAATCACCGTGACTTACTTCCCTACCATTTTGTCGGGTCAGAGTGTGGGGCTCATGGGATGGGAGATTCCACCTTTGAAAATATGTATATTTATATATGCATCGGTTAATGTAGGACAAATTTCTTACAAAGTCCTACTCCGTATATAACTCCATTAAAGAATCATACATGTCTCCATAATGACTATCCAATTTTGTTAGGGAGGGTCCTATTTCAAAAATACTACTCCGTAGTATATGACTCAAACTCCATTGTATGAATCATATCGAAATATAAATATGACTCCACAATAATCATTCAATTTTGTTGTAGAGAGTCTTAGTTTGAAAATGACTACTGTGCACACCCCTATCGCCATTTTGATGTAAAAGAATTGAAGTTTAATTACTTGTGTTATTCCCTTATTTGAAACTTTGAGTTTATATACGAAGTATACTCCTTTGTTCGGAAATGAATTTCGACCTACACCGATATTTATGTAAAATGGAGTTTTGTTTTGACTTTTCAATTATACTTTTGATTTATGTTAAATCAGACAAGAAATGAATAATAAGTAAGAGTAGTTGTGACTTTTTGATTGAAAATGATTTTCTTTAAAAGAAATGATAACTTCTTTTTGGAACATCCCTAAAAGTAAGAGTAGTTGTGACTTCCGATCCGAGTGGAATTTTTAACGAAATTTTGTGAACATATTGTCCATGAAATATAGATTGTATCCACTAAATTTTAGTTAAAAATTCAACCGAGAATTCAGTGAAAGCAATTATTGAAAAAAACTGCGTTTTTATATATTTTTTTGTGCGATTTTTCAATAATTTATTTAACTGACTTCCCGATTGAATAATATGCATGAAAAGTAAGAATAAATATGGTGCATCCAATTTATGATCGAATAACTCTAAATAAGTCAATAATGCATTAAAGTTGATAAAAATGTGGTGGCACACTGGTACTTTTTAAAAAAATTCGTCATTTCTAAATGGATTTAATGCACCAAACCCCCTCCTTATATAGAAATCCAGCACATTAGTCCCATGTGATTTGAAACATGCATCAAACCCTTGTGTTATACATATTCATGCGCAGAACCAATTTTGTGAATAAATTTAACAATTTTAAAATCACTTTTCTTAATATTATGATTGAATATGCAAGTAAATTTATCAAAATCTCTAACTTATATAAAAATGTTAACCATTTTTGTATTATTAAACAATCAATTTTGTTCATATAAGGGATTATGCACATGATTAATAATAACACACGAGTTGGTGCATTAAACCTTTTCTAAAAGTGCATTGTTTGAAGCCAAAAAGTATATCATGCAAAATAATAAGTACAATAATTCGTACTTTGCATAGGAACACTATTTTTTTTGGAATGGAAATTATCTATATTAAAATTAACAAATCAAGCAACATTACAATAGACTCAAGATCATAACAACCCTATACATACGCCCAATAATCAGCTTTAACTTTGCCACCCACAAATGAGCCGCGGAAGTCACTAACCATGTAATGCACAAATTGAAGCTTAACATCACCATATAAGTCTTCATGTTTCTATCATGATTTAAAAACTTGCAACTCTACCAAAACCAAACCAACATAAGAAAATAACAAAGAAACAAGTCATCAGTTTCCATTATTTCACGGCGCAGCTTAATTCCATTAGACCTGTAGATCTGTCTCGACTGTGTGAAAAGCAATGATATTTATTCCAATCTTGTACTACGTACTTAACAATTTGATGAAAAAAAACTCGTATTACTCTTTCCTCCTGTGGCGGTGGTTTTGGAGGAGAGCGGATCAACGATGTCATCGTAGATGGGTTGAGAAGCATAATTGGATTTGGAAAAGCATATATAAAACTTGATGAATAACATCAATAGCAATTGAACAAAAGCATAACTCCGTGGAAGCACTTACATCATTTATTTGAGAAGAAATCACTCGTAAAATGACTGTCAAAATTGACAGAAAAAGAACCCTAAAAATTTTAGGAAGAAAAACACCACTCATACGAGTGCACAAACCACATTTTTACTTATGTATAAAATCCATATTGTGAAGATTAATTCTCCTCGGGAAAAGGGACAAATAAGGCCACGTACTAACAAAAAAAGGTCAAATAAGGCCTTATTTATGAGGTTCTGTCCGGCCTTCGCCATTTGGGGTGGTTCTCGGTGCAATTTTTTGTCCATCTTATTCGTTAAGTCTAGTTTACTCATCCCAAATTTCAGCTAAAAATTCAATCGGGGAGACATTCAAATAAATTCTTGAAGATAACTGCGCAGTTATCTTCAAGAATTTATTTGAATGCCTTCCCGATTGAAGTTTTAGTTGAAATTCGGTATGAGTAAACTAGACTTCACGAATAAGAGGGTCAAAAAATTTCATCAAGAAATTCCACCAGGAACTACCCCGAATGCCGATGGCCGGACAGAGCCTCTTAAATACGGCCTTATTTGACTTTTTTGTTAGTACGAGGCCTTATTTGCCCCTTTTCTCATTCTGCTCCGACCTTCAAACTGAAAGAAGCAAAATTCTAAATGCTGAAAGCAAAGGAAAACGTTATAAATCTATATTATAAATTCTATATTATACATACTCTGTATATATACTCCTTATTACTACGTACTAAGTATAGGAAAAATTAACAAAAATAATCTCACCTTTTGCTGGTCTTCTCATAATAATCCCACCTTTAGATAATCCCTGAATAATCCCACCTTTTCACCCCATTTTCTTTCATTGGACCCTGACCATGTTTTTTACTCTTTTTTTGAGAATCATATAAATAATCTCATCTTTTTACTTTTCTATTATATCTTTATAAATGTGAGATTATTTATATAAGATTTTCAAATAAAGGTAAAAAATTAACTTGGTCAGGGTCCAATGAAAGAAGATGGAGTGCAAAGGTGGATTATTTTGGGATTATGTAAAGGTAAAATTATTATGAGAAGACTAGTGGGATTATTCTTGTCAATTTTTCCCTAAGTATATAGGTAGTATATAAAAAAGCTATCTTCATCGGTGTCTTTTGTTTTTCATATTTCATCAGTTTTGAATAATACAGACGTTTTAGTTGATCAATTGGTGAAAGAGAAAGGGAGGGGTAGATGGGTACGTACTTTCATGGGAATTCTGAAATCCAAGCTGGGAGTGGCGGTGATGGCTTACAAACACTTCTACTCATGAACCCTGCCGGCGGCAGCGGCGGTTATGTTGGGTTCCCTAACGCCTCTCAGCCGGCGCAGCACCAGCCGCCGGGGAACAACTTCATCTTCCTCAACTCGAACGTCGGCCCTGGGAGCTCAATGGAATTTCCGTCCCACGCGCCGCCGTCTCAGTATGTCGGCATCCCTTTTTCGCAACCTGAGGTCCACGTTTCCAGCGCGCACGACTTCTCCGCCCTCCAGGGTTTCATCGGGAGGCCGCAGTATAACCTGTACGGCTCGCCGGTTGACCTGGCCGCGGCGCGTGAAGTAACGCGCACCCAGCACGGGCTATCCCTGAGCCTCTCCTCTCAGCAATCCGGGTTTGGGAATTTCGGGGCGGGGCGGGAGGTGGGGAACGAGCAGTATGTGTCGGCAGTCGGCGGGGGTTCTCCGTCGGCTGCTTCCAACGGCGGGCTGCAAAACGTGCTGTTGAGTTCGAAATTCTTGAAGGCGGCTCAAGAGCTTCTCGACGAGGTGGTGAATGTGGGAAAGGGAGTGAAGAGTGAAGGGGCAAATAATGAGGTGCTGCCCACGAATGACGGAATCGCCAGCTCAGACGGAGAGCAGAGTGGGGGTAAACGCGCCGCCGCGGAGCTCTCCACAGCAGAGAGACAGGAAATTCAAATGAAGAAAGCAAAGCTTGTGAACATGCTCGATGAGGTAATTAAGTTAATCCATCTTAATTATTATAAGAGTTTTTTCTCCAAGCTTATTCGATTAAATTAATATTTTGATCGAGGATTTCTTAGCTTCTTGAAGAGACTGGTTCTGTTCTGACAAAAGATAGATTGAACACACACAGACAGAGTTCGTTCTGCGTAACCAAGGACCCCAAGAAGATGGGAAAGAAATTAAGTAATTATGTAAAAGTCTACATCATCATCAAATGTATAAATCATGATCGATCAGCTGCTTTCTTCCCTTCCCTGTCCAATTCAAAGTGTTCTTTTCAAAAGCTGTAAAGAACATCATCTGACTATCAATTTTTACGTGGGCACCTTTCAGCCATTGCATATATATATATATGTCAAAAGCAAAAGATGCTATTTTTTATGGTTTTGACTTTTTGCAAATATTCCTAATTGATTATTGTTTGGATGAGAATAAATATACTTGGAGTATAAAGCAATCTGGAATGGATGGACAGGTGGAACAGAGATACAGACAATACCACGAGCAGATGCAGGTGGTGATATCATGGTTTGAGCAGGCGGCAGGGGCGGGTTCTTGTAGAACGTACACAGCCCTGGCGTTGCAGACCATCTCAAAGCAGTTCAGGTGCCTTAAAGACGCGATCTTGGGGCAAATACGAGCTGCCGGGAAGAGCTTAGGAGAAGTCGAAGTTGGAGGTGGCGGTTCATCCCCATCGTCGTCGTCCCCATCCAGCAGGCTGAAGTTTGTGGATAGGCAGCTCAGGCAACACAGGGCTTTGCAACAGTTGGGAATGATCCAACACAACAGCAACGGCGCAGCTTGGCGGCCCCAGCGAGGATTGCCGGAGCGCTCTGTTTCTGTTCTTCGCGCTTGGCTCTTTGAGCATTTCCTCCACCCGTAAGCTTTCCGCTCTTCTTTTTTTACGTCTCACCACTGATTACGATAGCCCCGTTAATTGACCGGGTCGAAACTCATAGCAACCGGGGAGGTTATAGCTCTAGTGTTAGACTAGACTTCTGGTGGGCACGCGCCCAATGTCTACTACCATTGGACTGGTCCAGTCACCACGGTGACTCCACTTTTGGGGGGCTTTGGGGTTGGGGATTCCACTTTTTGGAAGATTTAATGACTTTAGATTTGATCTTGAGTCAGTAGTCCAAATTTTCAGTGACAAGTTAACACATGTGAAAGTCAAATTGTTCGGATAAAATACTGAGTAATTCAATCTAGTACTTTAGCGCACTGGATATGTGGCAATGATTTAGTACTTCAATTTTGAGAGATTGCTCCAATTGTTTTGTACTTCAACTTACCAGTAAAATTACCACCACTAAAATGTATTCAAAATCCTAATATCTGATGTAGGTGAGATATATAAGTAGAAAGGGAGATTAATGCATGGGGATTCGGGAGAATGGAAATGAACCATCCAAACGTCAAAAAGAGCATCTGAATGGTTATCATACGCGTCCAATACCATCACATTAGGAAACAACACTTTATAGTATGGAAAAGTGCGCATCTCTTTGTCATACTTGTGCTGATCTTTATTACTACCCGTCCAGTTGTAGAGTTCACTGTATAGCCCAACGTTATGCAACTTCGACACATTGAGATCATATCAAAGATCATTGAGGGCCTATTCGTTCCAATTTACTTGACCCAAATCACAGGGCTTTAAAAGAGTTAACATTCGTTTAAACAAACTTGGTACATCAAAAAGTACTTATTTCGACTGTTTTGTTTATTCAGCTCATAGGAGAATAAATAAATACTCCGTAACAAAAAATATCACTTTTAGCTATCAAATGGGCTCAAATACTCTCGTAGTTAAATCCCAAGGGTTTACACTTTCTTAGGATGAGTAGCCCGTGAATTTTATAATATTGTTATCGTAGAACTAATAATGCATGTTCACTCCATTTGTCTGTGCAGTTACCCAAAAGATTCAGACAAAATCATGCTGGCTAAACAAACAGGTCTTACCAGGAATCAGGTTATTTAAACTGTTCAAACATCTTTTAATTATTATTATAAAGAATGTTCATGTTGAATGAGGGTGGGTTTTGGTGTGAATTCAGGTGTCAAATTGGTTCATCAATGCTCGGGTCCGACTGTGGAAGCCAATGGTAGAAGAGATGTATCTGGAAGAGACCAAGGAACAAGAACAAAGCCAAAATGCATTAGAGAACCAAACAGGGAAAGGTAGTGAGCCAAACGAAGATTCTTCAGAGTGTTCGGATCATCAAGAAAAGAGCAGTCTTACCCGAAACCAACAACTCTCTACTGTATCTTCTCCCGCGGACAGAAACCAATCCAGTTTCAGCCCGGAAAGCCCGAAGAAGGCCAGAAGAGCACAAGGCCCGGACTCTTCCTCCATGGATTTTACATTAATGGGTGGTGGAGGTGGGGGATCAGCTAACTTCATTGGCGGGTTCGAGTCATACCCGATTGGAGAAATTGGATCATATTCGGGCAATGCGGTCTCCCTAACGCTTGGTCTGCCTCATAGTGAAAACCTCTCAATGTCAGGGGCACACCACGGGTTCATCCCAACTCAAGAAATGCATATGGAAAGAGGGGTAGAATTGGGAGAATCGAATGATCAGTTTGGCGGTATGAATGCTCCAATGAGTTACAACAACATTGAGAACCGGAAGAGGTTTGCCACACCATTGTTGCCAGACTTTATAGCTTGCGGTTACCAACAAATGCTCAGCAAGGAAGTAAGAGATTCTTCATAATACTGTAAAGATATAAAAACATTTATACTTTGCAGAAGAACAAGCAATATAGTTCATATGGATAGTTTTTTAGCCTTTTAGACATTATATTGGTGAGGATTGTATAGTGTGATTGCTGTTGTATTTAATATCAGGGGGACGTAGGTATTGTGGGATGTTATAGTTAATAATTTGAATTTTAAGGTGTTGTTTCTTGAACAACAATTAGTCAAATTATATACCAACACTGCTGGTATTACAGCATTTGTTACTTGGATGGTGATTGATGAACTGAAAAGAAAGTGAGCCTTATTTGGATATTTACTTTTGGATACTGAGTTGTAGAGTACTACATGGGAATCATGTTTTTGTTGAAAACTTTGTGATAAAAGGCTATTCCTTGTCAGATGAGAACTCTTTGGAGTTAGCTTTTTAAGGTAGTGTGATATCTCCAAGGGCATCAATAGCTTCACAAGGACCACAAAAGAGAAAGGCCTTATCTATAACGGGGTAAACAAGAAACTGGTTTACCTCACCACTAAAAAGGTGGTCCTCTCCATCCCACTATGGCTTCGGGAAAAATATGATCAATGGATTTTAACTTAGAAATATTATAATTATTGGTTGAATTTAAATCCTTTATGACCTGGGTGGTTAAGGATGTTTTTACTTGGATTGAAATTAGTTGTATACTGTGTATTTTATAAATATCAAAGTCTGGTCAAATTTGGTCTGATCTGAACTGATGAAATCTGGCCTGGTCTAGTTTGGTCTGATCTCTCACGCAACCCCATCTAACTATGCCATGGGGATGAGGGATATTCATAACGAGATACTCACAATATCAAAACAAACAAACAAAAGCTTCCATTCTTTCATGTTTTGTCTAGCATGCACGAAAATAAAATTCTTGTTTTCTTTTCAAGAAAAAAGTGTAGTTTCTTCATGTTTCTCAGCTCAAACCACAACATTTCAATTTCATAAATAAACATGTCATTTCAGACAGAAAGAGTATCATTTATTATCTATTTACATCACTACATGCAGAACGATTGGCAATAAAGAAAGGGGGTATAGACTATCAAAATAATGTCCTACCGTGGCAGATTTCAATAAATTGTTCAACCAAAGCAGGAATTCATTAATCATCTCCACTAATTCAGCCAAATTAGTTGCATATTAAAGAATCGAAAAATGTTAGACGTCCTTGATTTTCAACCCTATTTTCTAGACTATTTTTTATGCAACTTATAAGTTGTAATGCAGGAAAAAACAATACGGTGTTCAGAAAAACTTTATCAATAATCAATCTATCACGTATAGAAAGAATATTATCAATTTAGCCAAATGCCAAGGGTATTGAAAATTTTTAGGGATGACACTGAATTTTCATTGACATCATCTTTTTTTTTTGGGGGGGTACCATCATGGATTATCAAAGCATATGTTTTACATTAGATAAACCCGGATAGATTTCTTGGTTCAAAGTTCTAACATGGGAATAGTATCCATTTCATATTTCACGACATAAATAGCAAAAAGTGTCAGAGATTCAAGTATTCAACCTGAATCCATGAAACAATAAAAGGGGGGTCTTCACAGTTTTTATTCAATACTTAGAAAAGGGAGCCTTTATTGTATTTATCGTCTGTGTCATCAGTGTCTTCATCATCACTGTCTTCTTTCTCATCACCCTTAAAATCTTGGTAAACCAGGGTACGTGAAGGTTCATAACGATCCGAAGAATCAAGCTGAAGATCCCCCCGGTTCTTAACCAACAGCCACCGAAGTAAACGGTCTTCCTTATTCAGGTAATGCAACTCGTTGTTGAAATTAGGCGGTGTCATCATCGTCATTTGCATCATCTGCCCCTACATTATTCACGAACCAACTCGTTGTTTAATTCATTAGTTTCTTACATAATCAATCCCAACTAAACATGAGAGAAAAAACTCCTATATTTTTGTGTTATTAAATCAGACCTGAAAATACCTCCCATCAAGCTTTTTAATACCATAGCCGAGCTGGACAGTTCCAAAATACTTTACATTTGTGAGGACTCCATTTCTACCATAGACATGCTTCCCCACCTTAATAGCCAGTTCCATCAACGCCTCCTTCTTTATATGGGGTTTCAACAAAAGCATGCAGTCATAAAGTGGCATCTTTAATTGTTACTCCACGTTGCTCCTACATTCAAAGAAACGAAAGTTTGTATTAAAAATGTATTGATCTTTTGATCCCTCAACAAGTAAAACAACTCAAATCTATGACGCACAGTAAGAAAAGAGAAAAGGCAAAAACAGCATGTTCAATTTTATATTTCAGTCAAATAAGTACACATCCATTACAGTTTAAAAATCGTGGTCTCTCTAACAGTTGTAGAACTTGAATGATCTTTCCAGCGACATACTACGTATAAAAGAGGTGAAAGGGATATTCGTACACTTGCATATGATCGAATCGGTATAAGAGGAAGCGGTCTAGCTCACTGGTCACCGACCCACTCTCTAATATAGGAGGTCCTAGGTTAGAAACTACAGTTTTAAACCCCCCTTTACCCCGGGTGCCCCCTGCCCCTGGCCCCCCGGGGAATAGACAAAGGAAAAACAATGAATTGGCATCCGTCATAAATTTTAGAGTCGTCTTTATTTTATCAAAATATGTAAAAGCAACGTTTTAGACTTAAAATGACATCTAGCAGCATATCTGATCATATCTAAGTATAGATATATGCATTTAAACCATTTTTTGTCCATTGGGTATCATTCATAAATTTTTCGGGTCATCTTTATTTTATCAGATTTTCCATCATTTGCAATGGAGTCAAAGATTCATTATTTTTTTGGCTTGAGAATATGATGGAATAAAGCAAAATGGCTCACTAAACTGTCCGCGCTTCTTTGTTATGAAGCAGCATGCAATTTTGGACGCGATTTTCACTATGGGTCATCCGGAAACAGTCTCTCTGAACTTTAGTACAGGGGTAAGACTGCGTACATCCGACCCCCCTTACCTCACCGTAGGTGGGAGCCTTTGCGGCACTGGGGTAAATGAAAATGAAAAAATGAAAATGATCTTTATTTTATCGGAATATCTAAAAAAAACCAGTGTTTTATACTTATATTGACATATAGTAGCATATCTGATCATATCTAAAAATAGATATATGCATTTAAACCTTTTTTTTAGTTTTTTTTATGTCCATAGAAAGATAAATTCAATTTCTAAAAAGTTTATAGAGACTACAATTCTCAAACTTTAAAGGATGTGTACACTGTGTACTTATTTGACCAAATATATAAAAGCAATGTTCTTGATAGTATATTATTCCAAAATTTTAGAGTCAACTTTATTTGATCACAATATCCCAAAAACAATGTTCTAGAATAAACATGACATCTAGTAGCACATCTGATCATATCCAGTGGCGGAGCCAGGAATGTCAAGTTACAGGGGCCGGTGCTTAAGGAATTTATATAGCCGGGGCCAATACTTAAATTTTCACTATATTTTTTACTACTTATAAATATTTTTTACTATATTTATACATCAAAAAAATTCTTGCAGGGGCCACGGCCACCGCCAGCCACCCCCTGTCTCCACCCCTGATCATATCTGAGTATAGATATTTGCATTTACAGAAAATTCCCTACATAAGACTAAAACAATGTTAAAGTTCATAAATAGGACTATCATTGTTTTATTCACAAAGTAGGACTCATTCACTCCTAATTTGGGAAGTTTTAAACAACTTATTCTATTAATAGGACTAAATAAGTCCTATTTGGGGAATAAAACACACTTAATCTTATTTTTGAACTTTGTGCATGTTTTGGTCCTATATCGAACAATTTCTATTGCATTTTTAAACCCTTTTTCAGTCCAAACTTTAAAGGATACATACCTATTTGACAAAATATATAAAAGCAATGTTGTTGGCCCTGAAATAAAGAACCGGTATATTTGATCAGTATGAAGTTATTAATCTCAGACTTTTTTATGCCACTGGAAAGTTAAACTGAAGGACTACAACTCTTATAGAAATTATCTCCCAAATTCAAAGAGGCAACCTTTATTTAACCAAAATATCTAAAGACAACATTGTAGAGTTAAAATGACGTCAAGTTGTAAATCTGAGCAATAGGTAAGAGTGTAAGTTCAATCAAATATATACATATATAATGTTGATTCTATTAACAAATTCCACACAAAAACTTACCCAAAAAACTTTGAAACGATAACAATATGTACATATCACATGTTTATAACCTACAGCTTTTAGTTTTTTTTCCTGTTTTTTTGGAGTAAAATGCACAATAGGAGTTATGCCTTTTTTAAAGGAAAGAAGCAATATTGAGATAATCAAATGGACGGGCACCACCAATCGCAAAAAGATACTCCTAAGAGGAAGATAAACCATGGAGGGTGAAATCAGCTCGGCTCTTACTCTATCTACATTGAGCTAAAAGTATTTGCTATTCGGTTTTTCCCACACCAACATCCCTCCATAAGATTTTCTTTAATTCAACAAACTGACAAAAATGCAGATTTCCTAAATACAATCAAAATTTTCAATCAGGTATTTCAGGGGGATGAGGCCCTGCAACGACTTGTAGGTTTACTCAAGCAGATTGGAGGCCAAACAGATATTTTAATGTTATAGATCCTACTAATAATAATTAAAAAAATTTAAAATACAACTATCGAAAACATATACTCCCTCCCTGCTTCCCCGAAAGAAGTTCCGCACTTTTATGCAAGTAAACTTATCAGGGGTAAATTTTACTATTTTGACACTGTTTTGACACTGCTTTTGATGCAGATAACTTAACTTAGGGACATCCAAATAAGGAAAATAAGGAAAGTAAGGAAAATAAGGAAAGTGAGAATTTCTTTCGGGGGAGGGAGGAGAGAGTATAAAAGTGATGAACCAATTGTACAAAGCACGCACTAGTACGGAAGTAAATTCTTACCAGAACTCAAACCTCGCGAAAAATATTGAGAAAAAGAAAACAAATGCAAAAGCTGAAAATAAAATCAGTAGAGTGGTGTTCCGCGAACTGATTCAATCAAACATTTAAGTCTAACAGATAATCTGTTACGTGCGTTTTCAGATTGAGAAATTCTTACCGGAAAACTGAATCTTCGTGATCTGAAAATTCTGTTTCGCGTCAACACAGTCCAAACAACACTTCATTTATTCATTGATTTTGAGAATATTGATAGAGAAGGAAGTTGCAGCAGCTGAGGATAGAGCATACCTGGATACGGACGAGGTTTCAGTCCAGATATGGAAAAATTTTAGGAAGATTCAGTTTTTGTGAAAGGTGGGATTGACCTTCTTAGTCAAAAGTGATTTCACGAAGTGTTAATAGAAGGTGATTTCACCAACTTATTTTGTGGATCTTGATCAGGTTTACATAATTGCAGAATAATTTCACTAAAAAGTTATTTTTTAAAGTGATTTTGGAAAAAGTGTTTAATAGTAAAAGTTGGTATTGTTTGAGAAAAAGTGATTCTGAAAAAGTAAAAATTGGTAGTGTTTGATAAAATAAGTGTTTTTTGTATAATAGAAACAGTGAAAAAGGAGTTGAAGCACCCCTCAACCTGCTTCCAGTTTTTAGCTTTTAAGTGATTAATTTAAGCAGAAGCTATCACTTGAAAACACCAATTTTCAGCTTTTTTAAAGTCAAATACTGAGAAGCGCTATTTTTTTTAATTTTTTGCAAACACTCCTAAGAACAATAGGATGGAATAAGAAATAAAAAGTGTCTAGGGATGAAAAAAAGAGAGAAAAAAGTTTGCAAGAAAAAAGAAAAAATGAAAAATGGGACTGTTTTGAACAGATTTTTGAAAGGTGAGATTATTTATAGAAGATTTTCAAAGAAAGAATGAAAATCTGGTATAGTAGGTCATCAACCGATCAGGTCCAACGAAAGAAGATGAAATGCAAATGTTGGATTATTTTGAAATTACGTAAATGCGAGATTATTATTAGAAGACCGATGAAAGGTGAGATTATTCTTGTCAATTTTTTGTTTTAAATAAAAGAACACTTTTATATTAAAATCAAGAAAGCATAAAAGACAATTTCCAAACAATTATAACAGTCCAATCGTAAGCATTATGAATAGACATAGAATCGGCAAATTGACTTGTTAGACACAAAACGGGTAATTTTAGTCTAAAACAATCGTAACTGAAACATTGTCTATCAAAAGTACTTCAAAAACTCAAATATCAAAATCAAACTTACTCAAACTAAAAAAAACAAGGAACTACTAAAACAGAAATAGTGCTACAATAAGTCTTTCAACAAATTTGGTGGACACACAAACACTCTTTATCTCTCTTCCATATTCTACGCAGCCCAAAAGAAAGCAAACACAAACCCCTGACCAGGCAAAGTTGACCGAGACACCAAAGTAACTCCCCACATTGAGAGAGACAAAGTCACAAAACATGTTGGAGCACTCCAGCTCGGGAAAGAATAGCCAGAACAGATTAAACACAACAACAAAAGTAGATCATTCACGTTGGATCCTTCATGAAAGTTGTAGATAATGAAGTCCTCTATCCACCTTAATTTGCCGAATGTGATTTGAATCATCCAATCAAGAGATATGATCAAAATGGTGGAAGATATCATTCTGAAATCGCGGCAGAGATCATCTGACTTCATCGTCTGTTTTCACCTTCTTCCTCTCAGATTCGCACAAAGGTGTCTTCATATGATTTGTAGCTCTTGAAGTTGGATTTCATATGGAACTTGAATCGTGTCCATTGGTTGTTTCTACAAAGATATATGATTGAACGATTGACACAAGGTCATCCTGATCGTCGTTTTCAAGCTCTATTCATCTTCTTTTGATCCCGAAGCCAATCCTAGAGCTCGTTTGTCATCAAATCTTCATCGTGAACCTCCCGGTGACCTCCAAAGCTCTCAAATCACTCTCGAATGCTTCTCAACTCATCCCGATTTCTTCTCAAGCGCCGGTGCCGAACTCTAAAATCCTGATTTTGACTCCAAATGACACAAAACTCGAACCAACGCCCGGTAAACATAACTTGAGCTAAATTTGAGACTTGCAACGCCTTAAAGCTAGGAAAACCATCAAAATCCAATCCCAAAACGCATCAAATGCATGTCTAAATACGGACTTATCACCCTTCCTTACCACGACCCCACTCAGACACCAACCCTTACCCATCCTACCTTTACCCCTATCCTAACCTACCATAACCCATTTACCCCACCCCCACCACACGCATACCCTCTACCCCGACCTTACCACTTACCCCCTACCACCTGCCCTACCTTGAACCCCATCCCCTACCAATCAACCCTTACCCCTTACCCCTACCCTACCCCCCTGAACAAACCCTTACCCCACCCCTACCCCAACTCGTACCCATTTACCCAACCCCAACAGAGGTAATATTAAATTTCGCACCATAAACATGGGCGAAGGTATGGCCCACGCTACCGTGTCTCACCCAAAATTTTAATTCTTTTTATTATTCTTTTTATCCATAAGTTCTCTATACTGACCCTGCCCAGTGTTGTATAAACGCTTGGGTATGCTACTGACAGTAAAAAAAAATATAGTTATGAACCGGGGCGTACCCAAGTCACTAGATTGGATTTTGATCGGTACAAGTAATTTTTGGATAAATTGTTGAACGAATTTTTTTCATAGTAATTAATGGTTGGGAGTTTCTATCCACAGCCCCCGATATTTCTAAATACAGCCCCCAAATAGTTTAAATATCTAATTTTCCCTTTATTATTAAAGGACGAGAGCTTATTGGGTGGCATAAGCTCCCGATAAGGATGGTTTTCGGCGATGGATTTTGAGCGAGGCAACGAGATTCTTGTAGAAAGAAGGATGGTTTTGTTAGGAGATGGGACTCTCAAGTCTCAAGTTTGTGGTGGATCTATTTTTCAACGGAGATAGGGAACAAGTCGATCGATGGGCTGCATAACCGACCAAAAGAATTTGCTGCAGAACATGAAAGGAAGAACGAATTCAGTGCAATTTCAAAGAGAGCGAGGACTACTCTTCTCAAGCGGCATCTTCCCGGATGCAAAGCCACTAAAGAAAGGGTCGTATCTCCTTTTATTTCCGACGCAGAACAGATGCAGAGAATAGTGGGCTATTGCAAAACGGGGTGCAGAGAAAATGATGAATCAACCGACTAGTGTGCTATTGAACAACAAAGACGCCATCTGGAGCTGATGCTTCATGCCCACCTGACAAACTAAAATCAGCAAGCTTAGTATCGAAGGGAGGTTTTCAAACGAAAATTGAGGGTATCACTCATGAGAATTTCCAATTTTTCCCTGGCAGGGGACTCGATGCTGGATGAGGTCCCAAGCCATGTTGCAAATTATTTCCAGGTAGGAACTTTGGTTTGAATGGGCAGACCTTGGAATATTTTTACCACTCCAATCAAGAAACGCATGGAAACTTAAATCATTCTTCATGCTTCAAGAAGGAACTGGAGACTTATAACGGATGATATATCATATATGTCACGCCCCGGACCTACCGGGCACGTCAACAACCCGCCGTACAGTACGAATAGTCAACCGCAGTCCAACTCATCCATACCATACAAGGCGTCTTGAATACCATTCACAATAGTACATCCATAAACAATCATAATGTAAAATAATTAATTAAAGCAGCGGAAACATTTAATAAAGTGTTTATGCCACACTTTGGCGAACATGGGCATACAAGCCCTCAAATAATTATTCAAAAATAATATCCATGAGCATTAATGTAATTGTTTTAAAAAAACAGAAACGGAGGAAGCACGAACCACGTCTTCCCTCCTGGATCCTCCCTCGAAACAATGAGTATTTGTAGCGAGCTCAACTCCTGCCTGAAACTGTGAGGTGGCCTCCCCCGTGAAGGGGAGGTCAGTACTTGGAAGCATTTGACAAGTACAATGACAACTATACTAAGTATAATCAAAGTTTCAATTTCCAAGACCCTCACATAGGGTGATAATATAATATAGGTCATAACCCGTGGTTACCCTCTTTGAAAATATACTTACTTTATATATATAAAGTCAAGTAGTCGGCCCGAAGACCCATGTTTTACTTTGAAAACGTTCAACCCTTTCCCCGTGACTTCAAGCCACGCCCATCTATATTAAATTCACCATGCTAGAGGCTTCCTCTAGTCATGTTTTGTCGTGCTAGAGGCTTACTCTAGTCACTAAATTCGGTGTTAGAGGCTTCCTCTAATCACCTTACATACTTTGTGCTGGAGGCTTCCTCCAGTCACATTTCATTATGCTAGAGGCTTCCTCTAGTCATCCTACACGAATGCTGGAGGCTTCCTCCAGTCATTCTTCATCGTGCTAGAGGCTTCCTCTAGTCACGATACTAGTTCATCCTACACGAATGCTGGAGGCTTCCTCCAGTCATTCTTCATCGTGCTAGAGGCTTCCTCTAGTCACGATACTAACTCACTAGCAAATTCTATGCCTAGAGTTCCTCAATCTTGAGTAGCCAATGAGGCCTACTCCTAATGTAACTTAGTGGTTACCCATTCCTACCTTAAGGCATCTCATAAGACTACTTAAGGTGCATCCTTCACAATCCAAGTCCTTAGGATTTGTTCTATCACTTTTTATACAACATTCCCGATTAGTAAATTAAATACTAATCCATAAATCTTTAAACAGCCAAGCTCCTTAACTCATAGTTATAAGGCTCATTCCTATGGATTTTCTAATCTGTATACGATTTAATCTCAATATCAAAAATATCACTTTTATCCATTCATGATTTCTATACATGAAGTAAAAGTATATTTTATCACAAAAATTCATGGTTTATACAATCATTATACCTTCACATTTATTATGCATCATCATACACAATCTCTCATAAATTTGTATGTTATGCATCTTCTATTCACAAACAATGATATTTTCATTTAGGCATTATTATTAAGCATTAATAATCCATGAAAATCACATTTAATTACTTTAGGTAATCTTATGAAATTAACCCAAAGATTATAAGCAATATAGTCAGCCATCCTCACCTTGTGATGTGCTCAACTAGCTGCCTTAGCGAAACCCCTCGATCCGTCCTCGTTCTAGGTCGATTAGAAGTGGAAAATCCAACCAGCAGACGAAAGCCGGGCGGCTTTTGCAAAAGGTGGGCGGCTTTCGTGGTCTGCAGCTACAAACAGCCTCCTATACTTGGCGGTTTCCGGCGATTTCAACTCCTATCGATTCCACGACTCTTCTAAGTTAAATACCACCACTTTATAACATTATTCTACACTTTTAAACGTGTAGAACTTCATGTTTGATCCATCATATGATTTCTTAAAAATCATACAAAAATAATACTAGTTAAAGGATAAT